AATAAGAAACCAGCCCATTCATGAACATGTCATCCATGTTACATCAGTTATTTTAATTTTGTGCATATTTCAGTGTTTCTTTTTTCATTTTTGAACACCCCCACCCCTACCTCCACTTTCCTCCCCCTGGGGGGACTCTAATGACCAGACGGTTCCCCGCGGCGCTGCCCGGCCTGCCCGGCGTGGATTCGGCTGAGCCGGGTGACGTCACGGCCGCCTCCTGACGTCACAGTCCTCGACTCGGGGGTGGGGGTGGGTGCTTCCGCCACGGGCCGTAGGTGTGCTGCTGCTGCTGCTGGATATTGGCATATCACCGCTCTCCCTCCCCCCACTGGCCGGCCGGGGTCTCTCTCTCTCTCTGCCCGTGGTTTGGACGGGAAAGGGCTTTGGAAGGGCGCGGCGCGGCGTAGCTTGGAGGCCTTGGTGCCCTGGTGCGAGGATGCCTCCCCGGTACTGTGACCTCCAGCAGAGGGCGGGGGCGGGGGGTGGGGTGGGGTCAGCCGCGCCAGCACGACTCTGTCAAAAAGAAGTAAAATAAAAATGTGCCGAATAACTTATTTAATAGTTTTCCTGTTTTGTTTGTAGGTGTATTACATGAGAATTTACGCATTGGATCTGATGGCGAGTCAGAGGAGGCATCCGGGGCGTCGGACGACGTTGTGTCACCAGTTAAATTACGCCCCAAGAATAGAAGACTTAGTGAAGTATGTCAACCGTGATCATGCAAATTACGACCTGTTCTGTGTTATATTTGGAGACTTATTCCCTGTTTCTGTTTGAGCAGCAAGATATAAACAAACGACTGTCCTTGCCTGCTGATTTGCATTTACCTGAATCGTTTGTTGCCAAACAAAATGTGAGCCCTACCATCGATGGTCCCTTAAGCAGAGCAACAAGAAGACAGTCACTGTCAGAAATTGGTTTTGGTCGAATGGAGACTTATATTAAATTGGACAAATTAGGCCAGGGAACCTATGCAACTGTATTTAAAGGAAAATCACGTCTGACTGACAATCTTGTTGCTTTAAAAGAAATTCAATTAGAACCAGAGGAAGGAGCACCATGCACAGGAATCAGGGAGGTTTCTCTCCTGAAAGACCTTCGCCATGCTAATATTGGTAAGTTCGTTTGCCTAGCTTTTTATCTTATTGTTGCAAGATCTGATGATTTAAAAGTATTGACATGTGTTTCATTTTTGTACTTATTAGTTACTCTCCATGATATTATTCATACTGAAAAATCACTCACCCTTGTGTTTGAGTACCTGGAGAAAGACTTAAAACAGTACATGGAAGACTGTGGAAACATGTTAAGTATGAACAATGTTAAGGTAAGACTTGAACAAATTTTTGGCTATCTCCATTTTTGGCTTTTCTAGTTATTGTATGATAATTTTGTTTCTTTTGTTACAGCTGTTTCTCTTTCAATTGCTTCGTGGGCTAGCTTACTGCCACCAAAGACGCATTTTACACAGAGACCTGAAACCTCAAAACCTTCTTATTAATGAAAAGGGAGAACTGAAGGTAATACTGTGCCTGAAAATAAAATTACTGCTTTTTTCTACATACTTTGTGCATCTATTTAATTTATCTTTCAGCTGGCCGATTTTGGTTTAGCAAGAGCCAAGTCTGTGCCTACAAAAACCTACTCCAATGAAGTAGTCACTTTATGGTATAGGCCACCAGATGTACTTGTAGGTTGTACTGAATATTCCACTCAAATTGATATGTGGTGAGATTATTAAAAATCAATTCCCATTTCAGTATTGTGTTTAATCATGTTTCTGGTACTAACCATATTTTTTTTTGTTTTAGGGGAGTTGGGTGCATTTTCTATGAGATGGCTCGAGGGAGACCATTGTTCCCTGGTTCAACATCTGATCAGCAGCTTGGCTTGATATTTACCTATTTAGGAAGACCTCCACCTGGGCCTTTAACAGAGATTTATGACAAGACTTATCGATTTGATCCTTGTAATGTTGATAATTTCATGGGTTTTTCATCAAGATCTGATAAAGATGGGAAACATCTGTTATCTAAGTTCCTTCTGGTAAGATAATCTGAGTGCTTTTATTGGAACTCTCTTGTTCTGCTGTTCGTTAATACTGTGAAATCACATTTTAGTATGATGCCAAGAAGCGAATATCAGCTGCTGAAGGTATGAAACACCCTTACTTCCAATCGTTGGGACCTGGTGTTCATAAATTACCTGATAGTAAGTATTTTTTTATTTTTTTTATCTGGTTCATACTCTGCACAGCTACACAATTTTTTTTCTGTTTTCAGAAAACCCTTCTAGTTAAGCAAAATATACTAATCTTCTGCCAAATTTATTTTTCAGTTGCCTCTATTTTTACTATACCTGGAATCAAACTGACAACATTGAGGAAACGCCCTGCTATGAGAGCCTATGGCCTCTCCATTGAGAACAGTAAAGTTATCTAGGATCAAATCAGGGTCAAGATCCTGTTGTCAAAGTATGCTTTTATGTGTCATACTTGCCTCAGTGAGGCTCTCATTATCTGTGATGCCAAGGGCTACAGGGCGATCAGTCCGCTCACCAGAACAGGCTTCTCTATGTAAGAACTTTTGTCATTAGGAAGAAATTAACTAATAGAAGTTTTTACTCCCTGATTATTTAAAAAATGTGCTGTGGTTCTCGTGAAATGGAGTGCATTTTATCTGAACATAATGCATACAAGATCTGCACTTGCAGACTTTTTTCTAATTGTGGAATTGGGAGCCGCCTGTATCAGACTTTATGTGCCAACATCTTAATATTGTTTGAAAGAAGTAGTAACCTGAATACTTAATTCCTTTATGTTTTCTTTCATCCATTTTCATTTTTTTTATTAGTATAAAATCTAATGTCATGTTTCTTTCTTGCAAGTATTATTTGCAAATTTTTTTGTGCTATTGAGTCATGTTTGGGTTTGAAACTGAAGAGATTAAATTGAAACTAGTTATCTTTTTTTTTCATTTTTTAAAAATAAGACCTTAAACATTGCAAGATGTCATCTTAATGGTGCAAGGTTATCATCCTGACTGAACTGTCTCAGTCTTACAACTAGTAAAAAGGACTCTGAAAATGTGCAAGTCATGTTTACGTAGCAAATTTGGTGACAAAGTAAATAAGAAACCAGCCCATTCATGAACATGTCATCCATGTTACATCAGTTATTTTAATTTTGTGCATATTTCAGTGTTTCTTTTTTCATTTTTGAAATTTACCAGTATCTGCTATAAATCTACAAATCCTATGAAATGTTTCCGTAAAGTGTTTGTATGTTTTATACTTGACTTTAATAAGCCGTATGTTATGGTATGGGTCAAACCTTGCTGTTGATCAACCAACACCCAAAAGATTTTAATATTTAGATTTTAATTTTCAGATTATTTATTATAAATTGTTCTTTATGAAACCTGCGTGTGTATTTTTATTCATATTACTCTTTGAGGTTTATTTGTATCTATATTAGAAATTTGATCATGATGATATCTCCTAAATTATTTATCGTACATTTTGCGTCCAAAACATGTTGGTTGGATCTACAAGTATACTTGACTTGAAGAAACTGATCAAATTTAGAACCAATCCTGTCTGTTTATGATATGAGGTACAAAATTCTAAATATTGTTCTCTGATCAGCAGTCCGTCCAATACGTTGCTTTCATAAATGGCCCCTTACCCACTGCATTTTTTCTGAAATGTAAGATTTACTAAGAAGATTTCATTGTACAACATTGTACAAGCACATTTACCTGCAGCACATAGAAGGTTACAGCATCTATCAAAAGCTAAATTTTTATTATGATTGATTGCTCAAGGTTGTTGTTCCTCCATGGAGTTGTTTGTACTCTTACCTGCTGGTACTTGTTCTTTCCTCTACATTTCAGAAAGGTGTTTCTTGCCCTATAGCATGTAATCATTGTAGTCCCCAACTGTAAATCCGTAACATCAAAACAAATTTTTTATTGAAAATGATTATGGTCAAATAGACGCAGCTCTCAAACCACCACAGAAATGTTATCCTCTGTAAAGCTGTGAGAGTTTAAACTCCACTGCCTCTTACTGATCAAACTGTTAGTGTTAATTTTATCTGCTTAGTTGGTTAAGCAGGTAGCTTTAATTGATGAACAAGTGTTCTTCAAAACAAAATGTAAAGAACAATATAGAGAATATTTTTGGGTTCTGTTATTCAACTTTGCTGTTTTTATTTTCTTGAATCATCATGTCGATTTTACATTATTGAGTGACTGCTGCATTTTATAATCGATGCAGATTGGTCGTTGAATATTTCTAGAGTATGATTATGGACTATATTTTATTGATTCTGTCTTTTATTGGTTCAAAGTTTATCTTGGAGCTAAACTATTTTCTCCTTTTCACTACTCTCACTGGTTGATCAAAGTACCATTAGCTGCAAAACAGCCAAATTTTATGTTATTTTTAATCAAAAGAAAACTGTTAAGGAATGTGTGCAGCATGCACTCTTCTGTGTCCTCTTGTTATTCTCAAAAGTTTTTAAAAGGTGTCAAATCCATCCAAATTTTGTATATAAATGTAATTGAATCTTTAGGCTCAATACCTATGTAGTATATCATAATAACAATAAGGTAAAGATGTATGCTGCTCAAAGAGGTGTTTTATTGGTCCCAACCATGTTTGAGTCAAAGACTGCTCTTGATTGCCATATGGTCCCACTTTAATGGTCTAGAATCCTGGAGAAATACATATTAGCAATATTACTGTATAAACTACATTAAATAGGTAAATAAGGTGGGTAAAATGAAAAAAAAAATCACAAAAAAATCTTTTGACTAGCCAGTTGAAATTTAAGAAAAATAAATTACAGCTGCATGCAGGAAATTGAAAAAAATTGCATTTGCAAGTATTTTGGGGGCCTTCTGAGACTCACAAAATCGGATAACAGATTACTGAAAATTCCCATGGTCGTGTAGTCTACAGTCCTCCTCAATGGTAAACTAATGGTGAATGAAGTATACCTAAGTAATGCTTTGACTATGTGAATTTTTGCTTTGTTTTCTTAGTGAGTTTCACAAGTTAGGCAATGGATGAAAAGGGACAGTGTGATTATTTGTTGTTTTTTCCCCCCACATGATACATGACTGATTCTTTTCTATCCCATCTCCCCTTTCTATGTCTTCTGTTGCGTTCATAAATAGACATCCATCTGCTGCGCAAAAGAAATACGATTTTAAAAATCTCATACAGGACAATTTGGATTTTCCGTCCTGTTATGGAAAGACTTTACAAAAATTCAGTTAAAAAAAAACTCATCAAAATAGTGGAAATAAAACTGTCTGGAAGTGATTAATCTAGAATACTTCAATATACAGTAGTTGTAGTAGCTTACAGGAGGTTACTCAGCATAATAGCTGGCTTCATTTGTTTTCTGATCATTTATTTCATAGCGCACATAAATGCAAATGCAATTGGGGAAATGAAAAGTTCTGTTCAATGTAGAACTGCATTGTTAAATGTTATCCTTGTGAGACTTCATCATTTCATTCCAAGCATGTTCACCTCATTCTCTTTTGACATTTGTTATTTAAAGTCATGTTTATCATTGTTATATAGTGTAATTGTAATTTAGAGCTGTTCTCTTTACCACTTTAGAGTTTTGTACGGTAATTTGCGGACAATCTTTTTGAAGTTTTTGGCTGCGTCTTAAGTGTGGAGAACTGCTGCCTTCTCTTTTATAAAAGATTTTCTTCTTTTATGTTTCTATGTGTTGATTTCTATTTCATCACACTTTGGCTGTTAATCATGGTGTCATGAATCATTAATTATTATGATTTCAATTAATATTCATTGTGACTGTTTTAGTTTTGTGATTGTGGTATTTTAGTTATTTAAGTTTTGCCATTTGGTTTATCTCCTTTTATAGACTGAGTTAAATTAAAGCCTTCCAAACCCATGAAATTTTGCACAAGACATGATGCTGTGGTAGAATGACTTGTAGGCAGTGAGTAATGGGATCATTTTGCCCTCTTGGGTGTGGGCTCACCCATTTTTAAAATCTTGTGTAGAAAATTATGTTGATGTAGTGTTATTTAAATATATTTATTAGACAAATTGTAGAATTATGAGTTATCTAGATCTTTTAAAATTGATCCATCCATAAATCTAACATGTGTGGCAGTGTGAAGGGTCTATTCGGTCAGGTTTGGTGATTTCTAAATGTGGGTAGATGCATTTCAGCGCACTCACAATACTGGCATGGCGTAGTCTAATTTGATTGAAAAGGGAAAAAAATACAGTTTTCATGCTGTCTGAAAATTTAGCCAAAATTACATTTCTTGAAGTATTCTTGTGAAAATGCTGGTCTTGTGTCTCAAAGAATAACTTTCAAAATTTCAACCTTGAGAGGTTGCTTTTTATCTTGTTGATCTGCTTGATGATTCTCAAAATGACCTACTGACCTACCTCCTAGGAAAGTGATTATTGTGGAATGGAGATTTTGACAATTTAGCTTAAGAAACAAAGGAAAATTTATGTTTTGAGCATATTTTATTGTAAAGTTGATGTTGATGCAATCTACCCCTCCTTGTGTTCAAGTTGAAAACCAAACAAATTTCTGTTAATGCCATTCTTGAGTTTTAAGAGTGTTGAATAAGTGTGTACAATAAATTCAGACATACTTTGAATCAGATTTCTGAAACCTTCTGTAAACGCCCTCTTTTCTTCAAACAGAAGTTAGGAGTAAACAAGTTAGAGACAAGTCTTTTTGTACCGGTAGTTTAATTTTTAGTACCATACAACATCAAACACTATAAAGAAGTGGATTTCATAGGAATTTGAATTTGCAAGAAGGATGACATCCCAAAATACATGAGACTGGATGAAGTATCAGGATCAACATATTGCATATGGTACTGATGCTACTTTAAAAATGCAAAACAATTCTGTCTCAATAGAAATGGTATTGTAATAGTTGCATTACAAGAGGGAAACACACAAGACAAATAATTACATGTTCAGTGATAAAAAACGAACAAGAAAAAAACAATAATTAAGTGGAGAGAACTGTAAAAACATGACAACAATAGACCAATTGATAGAATAATACTTATTTATCTTTCTTCTCTTTAAGCAGACTGTCATGAAGCTTGCATACATCAGGCTCTAGCAAATCATAAAGTAAAACTCCCTCTTCATCAAAATAATTTGCAACAGACTTTACAAATGAACCTTCTCTCTTGCTTTTTCCCTTTGCACTAAATAGCACAAGATCAAGGTGATATTTGTCATCAAATCTGGAAATGGAAAACATGTCCTCTAGAATTGCATCTAGAATAATAAGAATGAAAAATGATGAGGTCAGTACTCACTTGTTCAGATAAGAACTGACTTCCCATGTATTATCAGGGTTGAATCCAGCAGGGTCTTTCTGAACAGCTGTTACAAATATACCCTTTTCCTTATATGTTGTATAAAGGGTAAGGAGACCCATAAATGCAAAGTAGGTGGATACACAAACAATCAGAATTGGCCTGAAATGAGGTGAAATCATTTAAAACTGGATTTACTATTGGCAATGAATATACACATATGTGCAAGGTATCAGTACTCACTTGGATTTTGGGAATGGGTACACATAATCATATCCAAGAGCAAACAGAGCCACTGAGACAGCGATGCTGCACATGACCAGCCTGCCATCCATAAGACCAAAGTTTTCTTGGTAGCTATACTTTTTAATGAGAACCTGGACCGCAAAAAGGGTATCATCAATACACATGAACATATGAAAAATCAATACAAACAAATTATCAATGTTTTTCAAAACTGATTAATACCTCCTTCACAGCATCATCAAGGGCATTTTTCACAGCTGACCCGTCCCATTTGTTAACTTTAAAATACTGCAAAGAGAAATGAATCAGATGTCAAAATCCATGTCCAGGTAAGAGAGGTATCTGTCTATCACCAGACATTGACGTCTTTGTACAGAGAGGGCAATGAGGTGAGAGAAAGAAAAAGTCGACTTTTAAACGCAATCAGAAGCAGGCACAATAACGTTGAGTTTATTCAGAAGAGAATGAAAGGGGCCATACAAAAGGAGAGGAAGAGGTTATGTTTCAAAGGATAGGTAGCATACGGTCTAAGGCGACAGTCCAGGAAATACACCGTGGGCGTCAGTTCAACAAGTTCGGGTGCACAATTGTACCCACCGGCTTATCATCTTCGTCCTTATCTTTGTTGTTGCCAGCCATTTCTCGATGTTAGTTTGCGGTTGACGTACACAAATAGTAGTTGTAGTATATGATGTATATTGTTTGACGTATGCACAGTAGTTTAGTTAGTAGTTCCTCCGGCAACCACGGAGCGCGGAGCGCTGAAAGCGACCTGGCCCTGGCGACCAGGTGTATCCACACGGCCGTGAGTTTCCTATCGCAGGGCGGGCAACCCGCGACACCTCGCGAAAGGATGTCGGCGGTTCGTGGTCCTCCGCAGTGGCTGCTCGGCCAGGGCGCGGACCCTTGGCAAGAGAGCAGCCGCCATGAGAACGCGGCGACTTCTGCAGCAAGGGTAGGGTCCGTGGCAATGATCAACTTGCTATGGAAGCACACGGAGGGAGCCGAGCGGCTGGAGCGGTGGAACGCACGAGGGAGCGTGCACCCACCGCTGTGCATTGCGGCGCAATAGAGGGCCACCTGGAGGCCGTGCAGCGGCTCCTGGAGCTGGGCCTCAACAAGGACACGAGCGACGCAGGCGGGCACACGCCGCTGTGCCTCGCCGCGCGGGGAGGCCGCAAGTGCAGCGGCGTGGTGGAGTGGCTGCTCGGCTCGGCCAGAGCGCGAACTGGCGACTGATTCCGAAGAGCGCTCTCCTATACCTTCCGTATAGCTCCGTCCTTGTCGCACCCATGGGGCAGCTCCCCTTGAGCGCTCTTCGGAATCAGTCTGCTGGCGGGAGGCCGTCCGTTGTGCCGTGCGCCGGGGGGACCTGGAGATGTTCACGGCCCTCATCGGGGAGCTCGAGGCGCGCGGCGTCCACTGGCGCGATGCGGACATAGCACACTGCGTAGAGAAGGAAGGAAGTGCAGACATCGTCCGCGCGCTGTTGGCCCGCTGGCCATGCTCTGTCCGTCTGAAGCTGGACGACACTGAAAGGCTTAACGATGCCGCGCGGTGTGGTAACGCCGACCTAGTGCTCAACCTCCTGAAGCTGGACGATAAGTCACGGACCGCGCTCCACTTGGCGGTAGAGCAGGGCCACACGGCCCGCGCGGCCGACCTGCTGCAGCGGGATGGTGAGTCACGGACCGCGCTCCACTTGGCGGCACTTGGTGGGCACGTGGGGGTGATCGAGGCGCTCTGGGAGCACACGGAGCAGAGCACCGCGCGTAGGGAAGAGCTGCTGGCGCTGTGGGCGGGGCGGGGGAAGAGGGACCCACCGCTGTGTCTGGCGGCAAAGGGATGCCACACGGAAGTGGTGGAGCTCCTGCTGGCGGGTGGCAGCAACGACAAATACCCAAATATTGCGCTATTGTTGCATGAGCTTTGATATGTAATACACAAACAATGTTTACTGTCCAAAAAAACTTAAAAAGTTGGCAATCTTCTGAAAAATTTGGCGAGACGAATTTTTTGCCTACCTACAAGGCGTCTGCCGTTCGATTTCAGTGAAAAATTTGTGCTAAAAAACCCGCGCCGCCGACCACGCCGCCGACCAAATGGCCGGCGGCGGCGCGGCGGCGCGCCGAAAAATTTCTATCGGCGGCGGCGGCGTGTCAAAATTTGTCGGCGGCGACGTGGCGTCGGCGCGGCGCCCATGTCTACGGACCCCAGTAGCGCCAACCGCATTCAATGCGCTTCACATAAAAGGTTACACATTGGTGACGCATTAAAAGCGCATTACAGCATTTAAGACGCATTCAATGCGCATTAAATGCACTCTACGAGCATTTAATGCGTCACCAATGTGTGACCTTTTATGTGCATTTCAATGCGCATTGAAGCGCATTTAATGCAGTACCGCTTCTGGGGGAGGAGCAGAGTGCGCGCCAGCAGGAGTTGGACGCGTCCCTCGCGCGGCTGCAGCGTCGGCTGGTTCCGTGAGCCAGTGAGCCACGGGGGGAGGACTGTGAGACTGGCCAATGTAATGAGTTTAAGTATTGTTAAAGGTAAAGAGATGAGC